AGGGATATGCAGAACCTGAGAAGAACGCCAACAGCATCAGAAAACCCCTGAAGAACTGACGCTAAAATGAGCTCATTCTCCTCATCCCCTCCAGTTACAAAAAAATGGAGATCTTGGATGAACTTGTACACAATAATGTAGCCATCAAACATTACCACATCAGCTGCAAAATAACAAACAAAACAAACTAATCAATGTAAATAGCTGGATGACTATAGAACTACAAAAACTACCATGATAGGATGTAGTAAATTACTTTGTTTTCTTAGCAGAACATAAGAGCAATTGAAATTACGAAGAACTAATGTTTACCCAAGAAAAGGCAATACATATAAAAATGGTGTCGAGCAGAGCATCACTTAGATACAATACAAGCAAAGAGTAACTTGTTGTTAAATGCTATAGTAGAGCCTAACACTCTGCAGTAAAACCTGGGGGAAACTCAAACATGACAATTAGCCTGGCAAGACAAGATTACAAGAAAAATGCAAAAATACATGGAGAGGTATTCATTCATAAGACGTGATCCATTTCAGCAGTGGCAGATGACACTGGACGCGAGTGTGAGATCCAGCAGCTTGCACGATGACCGATGATGCAGGGTGGTGCTGTATTAGATATTCAGGAGTAGTTCTGTTGTTTACTTTGTGATGGCTAGGGTGTTTTCTTCCCAGTTCTGTATGTAACAGACTCCTTTCTACCTTAACGAAATAACACGCAATACTCGTGTGTGTTCTTGAAATAAAATATACAGACGACAAAATGACAACCGATTAGTATCCTTGTTCAAAACAGCAAGGCAACAAAGGACTACAATAGATGAGCCAAAAAAACGGCATGATGCTCCAACGAGAAGATACACCTGATGAATGTACTGCAGGGACCTCACAAACTGTAGCCGACAACAGTGCAAAACAGCTAGGCCCATTTGGTTGGCAGACAGTGAGGTGCTAATCAGTGTTCCCAGGAAGATGGCAGTTTTTCTACACACTATGCAAGGTCCATGAGGAGAATGTAAACTTGCATTCTACATTTACCCACGCAGTGCACAGATATACAGTGAAAAAATAACACTTTCCTCGTCTTTCAAGAGGCAAACTCACCCTCTGCTCTGGCGCTGGTCTTCTGGGTCTTCACGAAGAGCGACTTCTCGAAAGCCAACTTGGAGGCCGCGGAGGGCCAGTCGTCGGCGTAGTACTTGACGGCCACGCGCTTCCCCTCCGCGTCCAGCACGAGGATGTTCTTGACCGAAGGGCAGGACCCCTGCACGGGCAGAGACCAAAGCCAAACAACCTCTGAGAAATAATCACTCCTGGCAGGCGAAATTCGGGGAGTAAAACCTCGCAGTGCGCCAATTCCGACGAGACAGAGATGAAAAACGCGCCAGAAAATACTTGATTTTGCCATCCGGTTCTGGGGCATAAACCCTAAGTAAACCGGGCAAACGGGGACGCGCGCGGTCGGATTTTGCTGGAGAAGGGGGGCGGGTGAAGGGATTACCATGTCGAGGGGGGAGGACGGATTTGCGGGCGCCGGGGGCGGGATGGACGACGGCGTGCCGGAGGGAGCGGCGGGTTGCTGCTGTGCGAGCGCAGGCGGAGGGAGGGCGACCAGGACGAAGATCAATAATGACAACGAGGACAGAGTGGAGTAGTTTTTTTTCATTTTCCTTTTCATTTTCGTGTGAGAAAAGCGTTGGTTTATGCGGACCCGGCCCAAACTACGACCGAGGCTGCTTATTGGGCTACCCTGGGCAATGGTTCCGTTTCATTGGGTACCGGCTCGCGACAGCCCCGCAAGGATCTTTTTGTGGGCTGAGAGCGCGTCACCTCGCCGCCATATGTTGGGCTCTCCTTCGGGATTTTTTTTTCTGTAGCAATTTTCGGATTTTAGATGGTTTTTTCGGATTTTCATTTTTGCCCAGTTTTTCTTAGCTTTTGGAGAAAAAATTGAGATTATTTTTTTGCTTTTGCAAGAGACACATATTTTCCTATGTGTTTTTTTTGTTTCGGCGAAAGGTACGGATCCGATTCTTGTGGAG